CCCACAGTCCAAAGACATGCGGTACAGGTGAATTGGGTAGGCTAAATTGTCAGTAAAAACTTGCTGGATAAGTTGGCGGTTCATTCCGCTGTGGCAACCCCGGATTAATAAAGGGACTAAGCTGACAAGAAAATGAATGAATGAATAAATAAATATTGTTTGACTCTACGGAAAACCATAAAACACTGTTCATTTGACTCTTTTTGTTGCTCTATTGTAATTATTTTTGCTTGCAATTTTTTACTATATATTTTTTAATACATGGTTCAGACTAGGGCTGTGCAATTTGGTAAAAACATCTAATTGTGATTTTTATTAACAGATATTGTGATTTCAGTTTGATTTGCGATTTAATTTTGTAGTCAAGCTTCAGCTCAATATTCTGTTAGTTAAAAAGGAACTGAAAATATATGAACTAACTTTTTTTCAAATTTGTTTAGAAATATTCAGAAATTAAACACTAATTTTTCTCTAGAGCAAACAGTAGTGAGTTATGGTGTTAGTTATCTCCTGGTGCTGTGGCGACAATTCTGGGACAGCTCTTACAAACTACCTGCTTTTGTTGGTGTCTCTGATTTTGAAACCAAAATATTCCCATTATTACCAACATACTGCTTTTCCTTGATTTGAGTTTGGCTATTAATGCTTCTGAAGCGGCAGAAGCCATCATCCCACTTGTCCGCGCTTTCCTGTTTTATTGTGGGTTTTCCACATAGTTCGGTTGCGCAATTCTGATTGGGAAGAACGAAAGTGTGCTTACTCAATTGGCTAGTGAGACTGTCACGCATTTGCTCTGAGTGGGGGAAACTATATAATACATAAATATTTCAAATCGCAGCCTCTTATGATAAGCTAATTGAAACGTTTCAAATCACAATTGCAATTCAATTTCGATTAATCGCACATCCCTAATTCACACCCTTAGAAAATCACCCCAATCAATCCTAATTAATGATTTCTTTGCAAATAGAGCTATTCAACCCATGTGATTAAACTGTATTCATATCGTAAGAAAAATCACCGAAAAACAACATCGCAATGTCAGATTTTTTTCCAATATCATGCAGCCCTATACCTCTAAGACATCCCTCTATGGAATAATGTGCATTATATTGAACTGTGCACTTATAATGACCTCAAGGATTTAGTTCTGTGTCAGTGTAACAGTATTCTTACTCTTTTGTCTTCTCCGCATAGCTCTCTATATTGTGCCTGACTTGTGCATTGTCTTCTTTGATGTGAGATCATAATAAAGATGGCTTTGTCACGAGATTAAGACGCTACAAGAAGCAGTTGACAGTGCATAATTTAGTGTATCTGTTGTTTTATCAAACCATCTGTAATCTAAGTTAAATACGAGGTATGCCACAACTGATAAAGTTATACAGGAAGGCAACTAAACAAACGGAACACAGATAAGTGTGTTATCGTAAAACTGGCACTTGTTGAATCTGATACAGTGTTGAATCTGATATTGTGGGTAAGGCAGGCTTTGTGTTGAAACCTCAGAATCAACGACACTATTGCTTTCTGCTGTGCTGCAGGCTTTGGGTGGATTTCTGCATATCAGTTTGATTCTCTCACCAGTATGATGTCAGGGGGTATAGTTGTTTTTGTGCCAAGGCCAAATACATGGATCAGTGTCCAGATTCAATATCCTGCTGACACACTCGTGAGTTAACTCAAACACAATCGTTGTTTTGCAATCCAGACATACCTTTAGATTGACTTGTTATAGTTTCTTATCAAGTTTCTTATTGTGCTCAGCTATTAAATACAGTTTACAGCTATGGAAATAAAGAACTTGGTTGAGATTATATGCATTTTCACAGCAATTCAGACTATTTGAGAAGTACAGCAGGACTCCCACTTGCAACCCAGGCTCATTCTGAAAATGTTCCACTATATACATTTTTGAAGAGCACCAAATACGTCACAGGAGGTACTTTTTTTGCTGTTTTTGTTTTCACGAATCCACTAGAGGGCGCTGTGTACACTTTTTCAGATCTCAACTTTCTCCAGCAAGTACCATTTGCACCTGCTGTTCTCATGAAAGTCCACCAGAGGCCACTGTTGACTGACTGACTGACTGACTGATGGATTGACTCACCCTTCTCCCCTCCTAAACCTAACTGATAGTGTTTTCAAAAGCACCAGTTGACCTGCCCATCCACTTCCCTAAACCCAACCAACAGTTTAAAAAACAATCCAAAAAAAGAAAGGCTCCTGTCTAATGTTTACCACGTTTTGAGATTTCACCACATTCTCACTCCATTTATTTACTCGTTTATTATAAATTTTTTGGTTTCTGTTTTTGTTTTACCCACTTTCTGGAACTGTTTTTTGCCAGACTCAAGCCTTTCATTTTCATTCATTCATTTCCTGTAGGATTTTTTCTAGCTGTGGTGGCAGGCCTTTTTTTTATGTGGCATTATTTCAATGACAAATGTCGGTGTGCATTATTACAAGTCGAGATGGCATTTATGTAATAGCCTACGAGCATGCAGATCACTTTGCTTGGGCGCCGATTTCCTCTGCTCGTGCACAAAACTTCTTGCACGCCCCCTCAAATATAAGCTGCTTTAAGAGCCCGCAGATATTCTTGTGCGCTCTCAAATAAACGCTGCTGAATTGCGATTTAGTGCAATTATGTAACAAGTATGTCTCCAACATTTATTAGATTTGCTAGGAATATTTATGAATGTCTCCAGTGTTAATGCGTTCTGAAGTAAAGTGAAACAGCTATACATCGTGTTTGCTGTCCTCACGCATCACGCACCAGTCGGTCAGCCAGTCAGCACGTAACGTTAAAAGGTTAAACAAATGACGCACAGCACTACTACGGTTACAGAAAAGTTCACACTGTTAAAATTAATTTACCCTTTAATACGTTTTGGTGTGATTATTACCCGCTATTAAAAAAATTTAATGTTTTGAATGAGAAGCTGTAATGTAGCCATGGCGGGATGAATTTTGGCGTGTCGCCCCGCCATGGAAGAATTAATGTAATGGAAACCATGCAGTGTGTGCTAACGGACAAACTGGTAACAGCAGAAAAACCGCTGGAAGTAATTGGTCAGCTAATAAGTGCAAAAAGTAAAAGCATCATACCGCCCCATAGCGTTGGTTTTAAAGATGAAATACAGCAATAGCTACATAATTCACAATCTCCAGAAATGTACAACATATAGGGCTATGTTTTCAAAATGCGCCTATGATGCACACTTTTAGTTTTACAATTTTTACTGTATTTTTGATGGAATAACCGCATCATTGGTGAGCAGGATAAGCTTATTTTAAAACATTTAAAAATATTACTCACCCCAAACTTTTGTTCCGTAGTGTATGTTAGCACACATTTCAGTTGTTATTTTTTAACAAGAATCTTAGACTTTGCCTCCACTTTGTCTATGACTAATGTCATTCTTTTCTGGCCACATCAGGCTTAAATCTGACAGGTTGACAATGAAGAGCACAGACATTTAATACACAGCAGACAAAAGAAAAGTCTGAGAGTTCAATAAAAGAGTCTTATAAATAATAACATCATAGCTAACAAACATAAATAACAAAGATTATTTACAGTATTTATTTAAGGCTTGTTCACACTGACAGACATTTGCAGCAAAAAAATGACAAGATATTTTTATTTCTATAACGAGAGTGGACAACTAATGCTGGAACTGAGTGCCTGAAAAGTTAAACAGCAATAGGAGAAAGAATAATAAAGTTACCAAAATTATAGAGATAAATTTTAAAAAATGAGATGAAAGAAATTGCAAAAAACGAAAGCTACTGTAGCTGATTCTTGCACTAGTGGAAAAGCAATGTTTGCACACATAATGAATCAATCGTGGATTTGTGAATTAATTTCATTAATCTAAATCTAATTTTTCTCCAATAACCATTGTTCCTCTTTTGCTTTTACCACCTGGGAAACTTTGGTGGTGGGAAACTCTAATGTGGCTTATTTATTTATTTATTTTTTGGTCAGCAAATGTATTTCTCAGCTTCGTTGGCACTTTGTGTACTATTATCCAAGCTCTTCAAGAGTTCACACTTAGCTGATAATCAAAGCGTATTTAGCATGCTGTCCCGGGAGAGAACCCTGAGTAATATCCTCGAGCCTGGGGCTCCCTCCCGTTAGAAGGGCGAGAGGGGAGTTCGAGCTCAGGTCGGTCTTAAGAACTCCCCTGCTTGTCATTGTGAGTAGTGTAAACTAAGGTTGTATTGGGTGATAATTTGTTTTAGTCAATTGGCTATGGTTTAAGTTTTTGGACGATGGGAGGAAACTGGGGAACCCGAGGGAAACCCACATGAACACGGGGAGAACATGTAAACTCCGCACAGAAACACCAACTGGGCTGATAGGTTGGAACAGCGGTGTTCTTGCTGTGAGGCAACAGTGCTAGCCACTGGGCCACTGTGTCGCCCTATCAGAAAAGGGGCAGGAAGTAGGGGTGGAAAAAAAACTCAGATTATTTATAATGCTCCGTAATCATCTAATAGGGCAGATTACGGAGCTAATAAGGAGGCAGCCCTGTTAATCATAAGCACGTGATCTTCTCGAATTTAGTTTATGAATAAACCACACTTATTGCTCTTGGGTAAATGCTCTGATATTTATAAGCTTATTCACGCATGTAAAGGAATCATTCACCATTTTTTTTTACTTACACTCAAGTGGTTCAAAATCTTTTAAAAATTATTTTGTTGAACACAAAAGAAGATGTTATGATAAAAGCTGAAAACCTGTAACCATTGACATCCACAGGAGAAACACATACTCTGGACTTTAATGGTTACAGTTTCTCATCTTTCTTCCTTTATGTTAAACTGGAGAAATTTCTAAAGGTTTGAAACAAGTAAACTGTGTATAGAAGATTTTTTTTTTTTTTTGTGAACTATCCCTTAAGTTTTAGTAAACATAAGCTTATTAATCGTTCCTCTTCACACACATGCGCTGTATCCAGCTGTGGAATTGGAGAAGTGGGGCTGCAGGGCGGAGAAAAGAGGGAGAGGAAACTCAACCGAAAGGAAGGAGGTCCCACTTTTCAGCGAGCAAGTTATGGAGAGAAAGTGAGAGATTCTCTTTTAAGTCTCCAAGCAGCTCTACTTGGGAAGCGTAGCGGTTTGCTTTCGGGATCACGATAAACGGAAAGTGAACAGAGCTGCTCTGTGTTCAGATCGAGGAGAGTTTCAGGAAGTTTTGAGAGTGAAAAGGAGACACTGCCGGGCAGTAGCGAGCGGAGGTGTGCTGCTTCGTGGAGGGGGAAAGCGGGGAAACAGAGACGGCTCTGTTGCGCGGATTTTAATGAAATTCAGCAGCTGTCGGACACACGCCTGCAACCCCTGCCAACCCTGAGTTAGATGCGTTTGACTTTAAGATGCGGAGCGACCCCATACTGTTCGCCTCGAGGGGTGAGTGTCCAGTGTCTCCCACAGCGGAGTCACAGTTGCTTGCTTTAAGACCGTCTGTTAATATTAGGCTACTGTGTCCTGGTGTATTATATTCACGATATGAAAGAAAACCCCATCTTTAATTGCAGATTGAATAGTCTATGTGGTAGTCCTGTATCCTGAAATATTCACGCGCCGTGAGACTTGAGTTAGGACAAAGTTAGTCAAAATACGTAACGTTAAATTTTTTAATCACAGTATGTGCAAAAACAGTAATATTCCAAATAGTAGACATATTGAAAGCGAAATTACCGTGTCTTTTTGGGAAGAACTGGGTTCACCACGTGAATAGTTGAATCCCTCGCAACCCTCAAGTGAGGGCAATGGGCAGTTAGAAAAGCAGTTGCAGTTCGAAATGTGAAGAGGCGGTAAATTTAACGACGTGACGTTGAAGGAGGTAGACTGCTATTTCAAGGCTTTGTAGTTTATTTATTTTTACCAAAAGTGTAAATCATTAATCTTCTGATTAGCATCTATTTAAAAATATTTAGACATTTTACAATTACTATACTAGAATATTGTATTTTTTTTTAATAACCATGCAAGAAAAATGTATTGCAGTCAGTCATGATAACTATAGGATGATACAGGTGCCCTCATCTTCTGTCACAGAAGTCTGCACATTCAGAAACACAACATAAGCTGGATAGGCAGGATATCTGTGATTGGTTGTTTGTCTGGCAGCTGTGAGGTGTCAGGTATCCAGTACGTGCATCACAGCTCTGCACTTGGTTGGGTATGACAGAGCCCTATTGTCCACAGAGGTTTAATGGTATCTGAGTTCAGGGTGTAGCATTGCTTTTAGAGTTTTGTTTGTAAAGGGCCAAGTAGGGTTTTTGTCACAGGCTTCTTAATTGTGATTGGTGGTCAGTTGCAGCAATCAAACATTAGCCTTCTTACGGTATTGTTTCTTTGAGGTACAGTATGGGACCTTACATTATCGCTAAATAACTCCTTAAGGTTTGTGCTTTGTGTCAGGTCCTTATCTCAAGGTTAGTTTGTGTTAAAAAAATCCCCCCAAAACAAAACTGTTTTAGTTACTTTTTTGTGACACAAAAGTTATTTTGAAGAATGTTGTACATTTCCCCCCTTCCTATAAATGTCATGGGCTACCAGTTTCCAACATTCTTCAGAATATTTTTAATTATGTTCAACAGGTTTGGAACAAGGTTTAAAATCCACTTGAAGGAGAGTGTTGAGTAAATTGAGTAAAGTTTTTGAGTTAACTATGCTTTAAAAGAGCATATTATCATTTACATATGTTACATTGACTACAACTCCATACTTTATTTGAAGTTTTGCACTAAAACATGTCAGCACAGTTCCAGATGTCACAGTGTTCCCTGTGGATTTGAACTTTTAATCTTGTTCTGGAGCTCATACTGGGCTGCGCTGGTGGTTAATGTGTTTATTGACATTTATGAACATGGCACTGTGTTGTTAGACCAGTCTGACATGGTATGAACTGGCACTCGATTACAGTGTGTGATGTGGGTATTGGTCTGCTTGCCTACTTGGCTTGATTTTAGAGGGTCTCCTCTTCGACAGTTTCCACTCTGATGACTTTTTAAAGGCTTGCACGTGCCAGAAACCCCCAAAGGCTTTCCTTTCCTCTAAGTGGAGATGTCTGACCCAAAACGACAAAAACGAAGAACAGAGCTATTTAAGTTTGCCTTTCTCCATCTTTTCCACCCACTCTGTCAACTGCTTGGCTCCACTGCAGTCTTTTATCATTTTCTCTGTCAATTGCTACCATAAACATTCACTACTAGAGAGTTAATAGCTTTCTACATTGTCCCTAAGGGGAGAGTGCCAGAGAGGTTTGTGTGTTTGCCTCTCTGGCTAAACGTTTTAAGATAATTTGGGAAACTCTTAAAAGGAAGAAATGTCATGCGTTCATGTTCAAGGGGGCATTTTCTGTGACTATTGGTCCGAGCACTAAACCCAGATTGCTTTGTTTAGTATGCAGTTTACTGAGGGATGGTTTGCATTGATGTGTAACTAAATATTAAAAATTAAAAGATTTATATTACATTTATATGATAAATAAAGGTAAAGGGGTTTCATTTTTCACACAAAAATGAAAATGCACTTATTAATTACTCACCCTCATGTGGTTTCAAAACTTCATGAATTTCTTTCTTCTGTTGAATACAAAAGTAGTGTACACTCTCAAAAAATGGTACAATGTTGTACCAAAGAAAGTACAAACCCTTGTCACTGAGGCAGTACCTTTTTGTGAACCGAAATGTACCTTAAAACAAAGAAACAAGTTTGCACCATTGCAGGTGGTATTTTTAAGGACATGCTTTTTACCACAGGAAACCAAAATGTACTTTTGTTTTTTAAAACCTGCAGATACAATATTGTATCTTCATCAAAGGTACAAACGTGATCCATGAAGGTACCACTACAGTGACAAGACACTTAAATTTGTTCCTTTAAGAACTATTTAAAGGCATTTTGCTCTTTCCGAAGTGCATCAATTTATTTTCAGTTAATATAAAACATCAAATATTAATAATTTTAAACAATGTTTTAAATTTGTGTGTGTAAATGCACCTTTTCCATTTACCAAAAAGAATATAAAATACTTTGACATAAATCAAAAGATGGCGACGCAGTGGCGATGTAGGTAGTGCTGTCGCCTCACAGCAAGAATGGTTGCTGGTTCTAGCCTCGGCTGGGTTAGTTGGTGTTTTTGTGTGGAGTTTGCATGTACACCCTGCGTTTGTGTGGGTTTTCTCTGGGTGCTCTGGTTTCCCCCACTGTCCAAAGACATTCGGTACAGGTGAATTGGGTAAGCTGAATTGTCAGTAGTGTATGAGTGTGAATGCGTGTGTATGGATGTTACCCAGAGATGGGTTGCAGATGGAAGGGCATCCGCTGTGTAAAAACATGTGCTGGATAAGTTGGTGGTTCATTCCGCTCTGGCGACCCCGGATTAATAAAGGGACTAAGCAGAAAAGAAAATGAATGAATGAATAAATCAAAAGATTTGTTTTTTATAGAAATACATTCTCCCATGTACAATATAAAACTTTTTTTTTCTCCAATTTTCACACAATACCTTTGTAATCACTTATAAGTTGATTTAATTTACTTAATTTTAAAATAGAAATAGAATTGTGCAAAAGTATTTTAATGAGATGTGCACAATATTTGATTTGTTTTACAATACTGAAATGTCTGTATGAACACTTTGCATATGCAGGACTTTTGCCAGCTCATGTGTGTGGTTCAAAGCAAATGGTGCATATATCACTAATGAAAATGTATTTATCAGAAAATGGTTACAGAATGTTTATTAATATGGCTTAAATGTTTAGCTTACAATACTAATAGTTTTGTTTTATCAGTTGTTTTGTTTTATAGAACTTAATATTTAATGTTTATGAGTTTCTTTAAACATTATATGATGATTCATGTTTTAAAATGGAAATTATTCATAAAATCACTTTGCCTTTCCAGTAATATTTATTTTAATAGGTATTGTAATAAGTTGTCCAACACTTATTTACCTTTTTTATGAGAACAATTTTGTACCTTCATTTAAGTTGTACCATAAAAAGTACAGAACAGTATCATAAAGGTCTTTTCTGTTCCATATAAGGTACAACTTTTACAAAGGTACAAAACTATTCCTTAAGGAACATTATTTGTACCACCGTGTACCTTTTTTCTGAGAGTGTAGGGGCATTTTTTGTGACTATTGGTTCGAACATTGTATGAAATTCACAGAGCACGGTTTGTATAGATGCCTGAATAAATTATTTGTAATATATTCATTCATTCATTCATTCATTCATTCATTCATTCATTCATTCATTCATTCATTCATTCATTCATTTTCTTGTCGGCTTAGTCCCTTTATTAATTCGCCACAGCGGAATGAACCACCACCTTATCCAGCAAGATGCCCTTCCAGCCGCAACCCCTCACACACACTTATACACTATGGACAATTTAGCCTACCCAATTCACCTGTACCACATGTCTTTGGACTGTGGGGGAAACCGGAGCACCCGGAGGAAACCCATGCGAAGGCAGGGAGAACATGCAAACTCCACACAGAAACGCCAACTGAGCCGAGGTTCGAACCAGAGACCCAGCGACCTTCTTGCTGTGAGGCGACAGCACTACCTACTGCACCATTGCCTCGCCTGCTATTTGTAATATATTTATATAATATTATATTATTAAACATTTATAATACAAATAGTTTAAAATGAAGTTAAAAGGATAGTTCACCCCAAAATTAAAACTTATATCATCATGTATCATTTACTCCCCAAGTGGTTCCAAACCCCTTTTAAGGTTTCAGCCCCAGCTTAATATTAAACTTAATACATTTGATGCATCTTCATGCAATTTCTAATTTAATTACTGGAAGGCAAATATATTATTGCATCCATAAATTTAGACATAAAAAGATGTAAAGACATCTCTGCTAAGTTTCCCAGGCACCATGGAGTCTCCTCCACCCTCCAGAAGGATGATTCCTAAAGGTTTCTGTAACCAGTGTCCCCTCTCTTCCACCCCTCTGCCCACTGTGGTTTAGGAGTTAGCGCTCTGTAATTATACATGCACACACATACTCATGAACACACAAGTGCACATTAATGGACATGTATTCTAAACCGTCCTTTCATAATTGAAACCTTAGTTATTTCCTCATATGCTCATGTGAAAGGATAGTACACAAATATAATCAAACCCAGAGAAAAATGCAATCATACATGCAGGAGATTCTCTTATTGATGATCCGGTGCATTTGATATATGTGTCTACACAGATGCTGGTATTCAAGCCCATCATTAGTGGGACAGTGGAGCATCTGTTCAATATTTTCTTCTCTCCTGTACTTTTCTACCATTTTCCAGGCCTGTGTAGTCTGAGTAGTGCTCTGGTGTGCCCTGGCCTGTGGCAGTGAGCAGTAACCATGATGGGGCCAAACCGTA